AACTCCCTCCGCTCCCCCCCCCCAAAAAAAAACCAAACAAACAAAAAACACTGTAGTTTTAATTTTAATGAACCACAAATGTTTAAATATCTTTACCCAATATATAAAAATTGAAATGTAACATTTATGTGAAGGACATGTGTTTGTATTTGACTGTAAAAATATGAGGTCCTTCAGTAAAGAAGAAAAAGTCTTTATGCAGCTAATGGCTTAACCTGATATTTTCTCTTTTAGATGTCAATGAGTGCAATGAGCTAAACAGCAGGATGTCACTGTGCAAGAATGCAAAGTGTATTAACACAGAGGGCTCATACAAATGTGTGTGTCTGCCTGGCTACATACCATCAGATAAACCCAACTACTGTACAGCATTAAACTCAGATAGAGACGACAGTGAACTGGAGTAGAACGGACTTTGGCTCCAATTTCTCAGCCCATATACTCTGCACTGTATGAAAGCAAGGAAGATGTGTATGTTACTTGAGATGAAGGTGGAATATAACCTCTAATGACAGTTTTGTGGGAAACAACAGTAGTTCTTTTATCTGCAAGTGGAATATAATGTTGGATGTTACTCTGCATCAGATTTCCAGACCAAAAAGCACACATTTTCGCTAACGGAATAAACCACCCAAGTATATAGTCTGATCTTACATAGCCAAAAGCAATGATGTTACTGAGCTGGTTATTATTATTTTGTACTATTGCTTTATTAACTTGCCATTTTATTAGAGGTGGGAGCATTTTATAACACTTTTTTTGACGATGCAGCACATTGAATACTGTATCAGAACTATTGAGATGAGAACTTTTTTTTTGTTATATTTTGGTGCAAATATCTTGTAGGGCAATTTCCTATGGACCTTTTCACACTGTTATACTGTTCTTTGGAAATATTGTTCAATGACTTTATAACCTCTCGTTTGCCCTGTGGAGCAGACATTCTTTTTGTTTTTTTATTCTTAACTTTTTGTACATCTTGGCCGGAAAATCATATTGATTTTATTTTTTACTCTCTCTTTTATCTTATTGCTGCACTTAAATTCTTTAGAACTTTTCTTGCCAAGTTTCAAAGCTGCTGGAGAACCATTGCATCCCTTAATGTATATTAAATTGGATACATGTTTCCCTGTCCAGAAATGTAATTTGTAAATCGAATATAGGAAAAAAAATCTTGTTTGTGTTTCTTAACATATTAAAGCTGTATATTAAACATCAGTAATAAAAAAAAACATTATTTTTACTTTTGTACAATGTTATTACATACATGGATCTGAGTATCCCTTTTGTCAGTGTAGAATACCCTGTATTTTGATAACCAGGATTCTTGATACTGATGGACATACCAAATATCCACAGAAAATGAGCTGCAATTAGGATCAGTAAAAAGGCTTTTCTGCCTGCACTTGCTTGATCAGATTTTGGCCCATTTAATTTTAATGTTTTTGGTTCATTAAGAGCCACTGAAATGTATATATTCTTAAAGTGTATTTCCACTTTTGTAGTTAGATTTGAGAAAACCCCACTATGTGTTTGTTGTGTGTTCTCATTCACACCGCATGAAGAAAAATTAAATGTGTCTTACCTTTTAGGTGTTATTTTGCAGCAGGCAACATTTCTGAATCCAGAGTTTTCTCAGCACCTTTACCGTTATCTAACTGCATTCACATGCAATGCACAGGCTAGGGTTGTAATCCTTTACCCCTTTGTTAGGGCAGGCAGTGTTCAAATCTACTTTAAAAATTATAGTGAACAAACCCCTCACCCCTCCCAACCCCTCCTAACACTACAGAGAAGGAGAAGAAAGTAGAAATGTTAACCCTCAAGAAGCCAATACACCCTAACCGAAGTAAATGCAATTTAAACTGCAAGAAGCATTTTTTTTAAATATTCTCTTTAGTGTATGCAAAGTAAATGGGACCATGTAACGAATAAAAAATAGGTGATATCCCAGTTTGGCTGTGAAAAGGAAATATTCTTTAAGATAATTGAGTTATACTGCCATCTTTGGGAGGTTTAGACTCAAGGCAAACAAGGATTGGTTAAGCCAGCCCCTTTAATGCTAGCAAGGGGATCGATTTCTACCTGTTATGGATCACAGCTGCGGACATGGATGCACAATCTATGGAAGCAGACATCTTCTGGGAAACCACAGGTTTTAGGGAGTAGAGGGTGATTCCCAATTAAATATAGCAGAAGTCTATACTACTGTATGCGGGTGATGCAATGACTTTGGGTAAGTTTAAACTGGAACAATGGTAACAGGTAATCTGTATTACATCATACAGTACTGTTTAATCAATTTCAAAGAAGTTATCAATTAAATAAACAGGGTGACATGCATTAGATCCATCACACTTTAGAAACGCATGTGCTGGAGGAAGTCCCATAAGTAGATATATGTTGGAAACTGTATTACTTCATACAGGTAATGTAATATATTCCATGAGAAGCAGTCTAAGAGTTACTATATTGCTATACAGGAAGTAGTCCCACATATATGATACAGCTTTGTATTTTTAACATGAGCCACTGTGATAAGCCTCTCAGCGGTATTGGGTAACCGATACTATGTGAATTCAACATGCAAGTAAGCGGATACATAGAACTATACTTGCGTTTTGCTGCATTAGAGATTCAGGTATCAGGTGACTGTGAGGCGTTAAGTCCTTGAGAGCATGCATACCGAGGAAGGCTGCAGGTGATTCGCTGAAATCAGAGAGTCCAGTAACAAGTGGTTAATCCAGAGTGGGAGTCCAGGATGACAAGCTATAATCACAGTGGCTGCAGGCTTGGAAAGCAGGTTAAACACACAATGTCTGTAAGTCAGGATGCAGAGCACAGCTACTGAGGCTGCAAGAAAGGACTACAAGGCACAGGTGTGTGGAAGTCTGTTCAGCATGGAGAGCAGGTGGAGTGGAGCGATTGCTCAGCATCCACAATATTACCAGGACACTGAGCAACTTCAAATCTCGCTCTTTAAGCTGACAGTCAGCAGGGGGGAGGATGAGCAGTGTGACGCCATGGGAGAGGGCAGCGCCGGACCCCATTCTCAAAGCGTGGCAAGGTGAGTCTGTTACAGCCCCCGTATAACTGCAAGGCCTCAATGTCCTAGGAGGATGAGCTTTATTTATTTTTACTATTTTTTTCTGTTTTATCAGCATATTCATGCCTTCATGGACTTTTTCTCTATATGTTTATTATACTTCTTGGGCAGTGAGTGTGCACCCCCCTCCTCCTTAACCATATCAGGCAACGAGCCCCCTGGCAAGACACCATGTAATGGCAAAACCTCTTGTCTTCTTGTTGATGTGGACAAGGCCCTCACCCCTCCGCATTCCTGGCCCAGATTGGTGTCAGTGACCACAATAATAAACCCTAAATTAATGTCAGACAGTAACTGCAATATTAAACCCCACATTGGGATCAGTGACCGCAGTAATAAACCTCACATTGGTGTCAGTGACTTCAGTAAAAAAAAACAAAAAAACCCACATTAGTATCAGTGATTGTAGTATAAACCCAACATTGGAATTAGTGGCTGCAATAAGTAGTAGGTAGTAATGTTTTTAACACCACCTTAGTGGTGGCAGTGAATATTTTAACCCCACATTGGTGTCAATGGCAGAAAAATATAAAGTGGGCACCCAGATGCCGCTCCCCTTGAGAATGAGTAAGGGGTAGTTGTTACCCAAAATTAATTCACCAAAGAGTTAAGTAAAATGTAAATAAACACACAACAACTTTGAAAAAAATCCTTTTATTGAGCAAAAACACCAACACAGTTTTTGACAAGTCCTCTTTTGCTATTCGGGAACAGAGTTGTTTTATTATATGACAGGTCTCTGGTCCCCAATGTCAACAAATAGGAGGAACAAGTCCCGTGATGTAATGTATCATTCTGCCCATTTGTTTACATTCTGCCCGAAGAGGTCATTTTGTAGCGGTGGTCGTCAGGATCGGCTTGGTCTGCCGATCCTGACGACCTCAGGATTTTAAAATAAAAGAATTGTCAAAAACTGTGTTTGTGTTTTTTGTTCAATTAAAGGAATGTTTTCAAAGATGCTGTGTGAGTAGGGGTAACAACCACCCCTTACTTACACCTTCACAATGGGGGGACAGCATCTGGGTGCCCCCTTTATGAAACGGGCACCCAGATGCAAATAAGCCCCCCTTCCCACAGACCCCCACAACCACGGGCCAGGGTTGCGGGGAAGAGGCCCTTGTCCTCATTGCCATGGGGACAAGGTGCTTTTCCAGGATGCATCCGAAATGTTTGTTATAAGTTAGAAGTTTGGATACGCTCAGATTCGTTATATTTTTGTTTTGATATGCATCCAAATTTCTGAACATTCGTACAAATTTCTATTCAGAAAAAAACGAATTGCACAGGTCTAGAATTGAGGGGAACTTCTTTTTCATTCTTCACTCCTGATCACATGATCACAGAGGTAGCATATGATTGGCTATTACAGTGATCACTAGCTGTAGAACCCTCCCCATCACTTTCTCTTCTGTAAAGAGCAAGAGATACAATGTATATTCTACCCCTCCCTTGAGCAGAAGAATGTAAAGCAAAAAAGCCTGTGTAAAAAGATCAATAAGTAAAGATGAAATAGTTAGATCAGGGCCTTTTTTAATCCAGGTAGGATTACAAAAAAAAAATAAAAAAAGCTTTTTGATTTTGTGTTAGTTTTAGCCTCAGTGTATTTTAGATAGGATAAGCAGCAAAATGCACATTATTGTTTCTGGGCCCTACTACAGGTACTAACAACAAATAATGCAAACAGATGTGGCATTGCTGTAAATTCAAGGCGTACTAGAATTTATTTTGGTTTATTTGGTGGTTGGTGGTGGGTCATTGTAATGGCAAAAAATATAAAGCTAAAATGTGGGTATTTTCCTTCACCTCCCATCTGTTCACTGGTTAATGTTTGGTCCGCACATACTGCATTGTCCCATATTCCTTTTCCTGAGGTATAGGGTTAGGTACTTTGGACTTTACCTTGCTATTGTTTTTTTTGTTACTGACCACTTTACCTGTTGGTTTAAGTTTGCTTCCACCTGATTTTTCAACATGACCTAGTGTAAGGAGTACAAAATGTGGGCCTATCAGAAATACTGGAAAAATAAAGTAACCATGGTTAGTTACCTCTGATACCTCCTTCCATACAGGCTTATGCTAGGGGCAAAAAAAAAGCCTTTTCTTCATAAACAGATAATGTAATAAGAGCATAAGATAAGTGCCCAGTTAAAACAGAGCTCCAGGCATAAACAACAAAGCAAAAATGAATATTCATCAAAAGATAAAATAACAAATACAGCTTTGCTGCAATATTGCCTCAATATTCATCTATAATAATCAGGAGATTTCCTCCACAGTACTTTTTTCTGCCGGTAGATGTTCTCAGTCTGATAGCCAGTATCATTTTACCCACTTCCCCTGAGCCCAAGTCATTTTTGATCCAGCCTGTGACTACACAGTGAAAGGTGAAGCAGCACAGTGATGCTTTGTCATTTTTATTGTTATGCAAGATAGAAAGCGATGCGCCAGTGTACCAGCCATTTTAATACAGTGGCCAGTCTACAGGAAGTTAACCTCCCTGGCGGTAATCCCGAGTCTGGCTCGGGGTGAATTTTCAATGCTAGGAGCGGTACCCCCGAGCCAGACTCGGGGCTGCAAAGAAAAGTGACACTCACCTTGTCCCTGCGATCCCGCGGCGTCCTCTGCTGTACGCGGCCCAAAAATGAAACTAAAAGCTGGCATCTGACTTTTAGGGGTCTATTCACTATGCTGCCGAGGGCAGCCGAGTGAATGACCGATCAGAAGTGAAGTGAGCCGAACACTGTTCGGCTATAGCATGGAAACAACAAATTTCCATGCAAAAAATTGTACCGCTTTTGGTACAAAATTCCTGACATAATCATACCGCCAGGGAGGTTAAGACAAACTGGTCTGACATACAGAGAGAGATGCCAGTGCTCAGGGTGGGGCATGTATGTACTGGGAAGCTGTCATCAATGTGACAGCTTCCCATTTATTGGTTGGTAGCCTTCTTATGGCTATTGGATGCACACATAACCTGTCATGTCTCGTACATACATAAACCCTAATTACACATTTTCGCACGCACCAGAGTTGCAAAAACAATTATGGAGCCTTTATTTTAGCTTAGATTCATGGCCTGTAATGGGTTTTAATGTGTTGCC